CTGTCTTCATAATTCTGGTGCTCCTGGTTGCCTGTTTATGAAATAACAGATTAAGTTGGTTAATTTAAGTAATTGAGTTGGTTTCCTCTGTGCTGTATCTGTTTCCCTGGTACAGCCACCCTCTTAATAGGAAGGATAAGTACAGTTATCAGCAGTCTTGACTATAGGGTCAATGTGTGGGTGATTGTTGGGGGTGGTGGGGGAAGAGTTTGTAAATGCCGGGATGACAAGTTTTATTCTCGTATGCCAACCCCACACTAAACACACTAGAGTTCTCCTAGAGATTTATTGGATTTCTATAGAACAAACTTCTGGGTTCTTGCTACACGTGTGCATACGCACGCACGCACATGTGTGTGTGTGTTGTTTGTCTGGAGGTCAGTGCCAGTCACCCTCCATTCTGGAGATAATAAGAGGGTGACTGGTACAACTTTTGCATACATAGACCTACAAACTCCCTAGTTTTTAGATCCACTTTTTAAAAAAATATATCTTTATTGATTTCAGAGAGAGGAAGGGAGAGGGAGAGAGATAGAAACATCAGTGATGAGACAGTCGTCATTGATCGGCTGCCTCCTGCCCGCCCCTGACTGGGGATCGAGCCCGCAACCCGGGCATGTGCCCTCACCGGCAATCAAACCGTGATCTCCTGGATCCTAGGTCGATGCTCAACCGCTGAGCCACGCCTGGCCAGGCTAGGTCCACTTTTTACCTGTCCTCAGTACCTGCTAATTATGAACTCAGAGCCTCTCTGGGATTTTGCCAGGAAGACTGGCTCTGACTTCCGTTGCCTATATCTGGGCCATGGCTCCCTTCCCACTGTTAAGCCATCATTACATGTCATCTACTTCTAGAAATTTGTTGATGTCTTTGCATCTGCCACCCCCTCCCCTGCCATTCTTTTTGCTGTTATGTGTTTATATCATTTCCTGTTGTTTTTAGGGAGTGTCAGAAGAAAGGGGATATAATCACTTGTGCTCAGACTACTGTCTTAAACCTTTAATGTTTACATGCTTTGCAAATCTCCAAAGATATTTATTTTTGCAACTGCTTTATGCTGTTAAATGGTGAGGCCTCTGTTCCGCTGAGCTCCCTGATGTGTTTGTGTTGCAAATTGGCATCAGAGCTGAGGAAAACTTTTTCATAGTAGAGTAAAATAACCTGGAGTTTCCACGGCAATCTGGGAGGAAGAGAGGAAGGGCAGCGAGGGGAGGAAAGAGAGGAAACTAATGACATGCCCTGATGTAAACCCCTCCCCAGGATTCCCAGTCTCTCAAAGGGGTTCTAAATACCTGGCATGACAGAATTTCTCAGGAAGTCCATGCAGGTGCTTAGTTCTGGGATAAGGCTAATGGGGACAAAACAGAGAAGGGTCATACAGACCACAAGAAGAGCCTTTGGCTCGAGGAGACCATAAAAGCAAATCCCTGGAACGTGCAGAAACTGTGTGGAATTGGCAAGGCTCTGAGCCAATCATACAGAGCTCCCTGGGGGTTAGGAGAGCCCCCGCTGGCCCTGCTAACCAACCCCCTTTAGTCCATCTCCACACTAACCTGAGTGTTCTCCCTAAAGCGCGAAGTGATCATGACATTCCCCTGCTTTAAGTTATTGTCCACGGTCCAAAAGTCTTTATCCTGTCATCCAACACCCATCATGATATGGCCTCCACTTGCCTTATTGGCTCCATCTGCTCCTCAGAGGATACTCTCAGCTACATCAAACATTTCACCATTCCCTAAAACACCAAGCCTTCCCTCCCTCTTCTTCCTATTCATTCTTCAAGACCAAGTTCCATCATCGCCTCAGCCTTCGCCTCCCCTCCCGAGTTAGCCATTCCCACCTGTGTTCGCCAACACCTCGTTCAGAGGGAAGTTTCTCTTCCTCTGTGTTCCCTGAAGGACTATGTTTTAGTAACTTCTGGGCCCCAATTTCCAATACAGGCCAAGTCCAGGCCCTCCCCTGGGCTGCTACAGAACCCTGGGGACAACTGTAATGACAGCTGTCACCCTGCATTGGAACTCAACTTCCTGCCCTCAGAGCACACAGGGCCATGTCCTCCTCATTGCCAGTGTTCCCAGTAGCTAGGAGAGGAGTGGGGGGGAGGGGAGAGAAAGGGGAGAGGGACGAGGGGAAAAGAGAATGAAGGAGGAAATAAAGGAATTTTACACAAAAGGAAGTCAGAGAGTAAATAAATGATCTAGTCAAGACTCAAAAGTCTGGACAACACAGAAACCCCAGGCCATGAACTTGGTCAAGAGAAGGGCAAATGGTCAGCAAGTTATGATCAAAGCAGGGGCCTTGTACATTGATCCTGGGTCTTAGTGGCAGCAAAGACTCCCAAAAAGTCGCAGCAGTTGTCACTAAGACTCTAGGTTGGAAGGATGATGATGCCAAGCTCCTCAGACTGAGAGGAGACAGGCAGGCAGAACCTAGCTTGGTCGTGGGTATAATGAAGAGCTTGGCCTTGGAATCAGACACACCAGTTTGAATCCCAGATCAGTCATTAGGTTGGGTCATTTAACCTCTCAGAATTTTCTTATCTTGAAAATGTGGATACTGCTACCTTGCAGGATTGCTCTGGAGATCAAAGGTAATTGGTGTTTAATAACTGGTGCTCAGCAGATGTCTGATAGATAGCGACTTTTATTATTAGGGCGTCTGAGAATTCACACATGCCAGTTTGGGTGACTGTGTTTAAATATTTTGTATGGAGATTTTCAAGCAGAAAAATGTATGTGAAATAAAAGTGCTTTGTAAACTGTAAAGTGCCATACAAATGTCAGGGAATCATTTGCGAAGTCCTCTTTTAGAGCTGGGAAAAAGACAGGTTTTGGATTTGGGCAGAAGTAGGTTCAGTTCCTGACCCTGCCATTTACTTGCCATGTCACCTTGGGCAAGTCATTTTCTGTCAGCCTGTTTCTGCCACTGTCAAATGTGGGTAAGTCTAACTTCACAGGGTTGTTGTGAGAATTCAGTGGGATGAAAGTATGAAACTCCTGGGCACATCCCTTGCTGGGTGGGTGGCAGGGTCCCATGTGATAGGTCAGGTTATGGGCAGCGTCGGTTCCAAGCCTGGTGCCACAGTCCCATTCTGTCAACTGGCTACAATGAAGAGGGCCCTTCACTCCAGAGGAGCAGGACACCAAGCTGGCAAATGGGGGGGAGGGGTGTCTGTTGAATTTATTGGAGGAAATCTGGGTGAACACTACTATGTAGAAAACACGAAAATCTGCTCTGTGGAACCAGGCCTAAACCAGGGCAGAAGCGAGAATGGTCCCTGCTAAGTTGTCCCCAACTCGGGCACTAAATTATTGCTACTAAGGGCAAAGACCCTCATCATGGGTTCATCTTACCCCACTCCTCGCCCCCTACTCCTTGCCACTGTCATTTTTCCTAGAATAAGTGCTCAAGCAATACTCTAAAGCTGAAAAGGTTGGCACTAACTTCCCACAGAGCAAACAGACCAGGGCCCCATCAAGAGGCCATACTGGCTCCCACCTCCAGGCAACCCCTTGGTCCCAGGCCAGCCCTCTAAGTGGTGAGTGCAGCGAAAAGGGCATCCTCTCAGAATCAAGGGAGGCCCAAGCTTGAACTCTGGTCCTACCACGTACCTGTTGTGTGACTTCACAGCAAGTGACTTCACCTTTCCTCCCTTGTTTCCTCATCTTACTCCCTAAGGGCTGCCGTGACAACTAAATTGAAATTCCACTCTCTTCCAGAATAGTTGCAGAGAGACCATCTCCCCCGCTCCCACTTCTCTGATGCCCCCAATAAGTACACAGGTCCTTTACATTGAAGGGTTTTACTGCTAATCACACAGGGAACAGATGCACATTGGGGTGGGGATAACAAGTCACACACATGGGGGAGTGTGAAGGTCCCTGGACCATGGCTCCCTGTTGGCTTCCCTTTCCTTTCTAAGGCAGGACCTCAGACCTCTTCTCCAGGCCAAGGAGGCCCCTTCCGTGGGGAAGACTGCTGCTCCCAGCCCAGCTGGGGCACAGTGGATGGAACTGGCAGGCCATGGCAGTGGGCCCTAAGCAGTTCATACACAATTGTGAGCATCTTCAGACAGTGGTGCCCATCTCACAGGTACTTCCTCAAAGGCCAGGGACGGCTGCCCTACTAAAATGAGCATGTACTAAACTTATTTCTCTTTCACCCCAAGGAGATGAAGCCAAGACCAGATCCTCTGACTTTCCAAGGCAAGAAATTGGCTTGGAAAGGGGCAAAGAATTTACCCTTCTCAGCACCTCCTGGAGACCCTGGCTTCAGAGGCAGCAGGAAACCATTCTCCAAAGTGCCGTGAAGGGCTTGAGGTCAAGGGGGCAGCAGCAGATCCTACTGATCTTCCTACACTAGGTTGGGGTCTCTCTCTCTCTCCCCCCCGCTCCTTCAGCTGGAATCTTTCCCAGCCTGTTCTCCCATGTGCGTCTTCTGGTGGCGGATGAGATTGGAGCTCCGGGAGAAGTGTTTCCCACACAGGGTGCACCGGTAGGGCTTCTCCCCTCTGTGGGTCCTCTGGTGTGCTCCGAAGTTGGAGATATCGCTGAAGGTCCGCCCACACTCGGCGCACTCGTAAGGCCTCTCGCCGGTGTGGGTGCGGTGGTGCACCCCGAAGCTGGAGCTGTTGCTGAAGCTCTTCCCGCACTCGCAGCAGATGTAGGGCGCTGGCTCCAGGTGGGTGCGGTGATGCACAGCCAGCGTGGCACTCTGGCTGAAGCTCTTGCCACAGATGTCACAGCGGTATGGCCGCTTGCCCAGGTGGTCCTGCTGGTGCGTGGTGAGATCCGAGCGTCGCCGGAAGCTCTCCTGACACTTGGGACATTTGTAGTGCTTCTCCTCCAGGTGGATCCGCTCGTGCCGGATGCGGTTGGAGCTCCTGGAGAAGCTCTTGCCACATTCAGAACATTTGTAAGGCTTCTCGCCCGTGTGGATCCGCTGGTGTGTTCTCAGGTTGGAGGTATTATTGAAGGTTTTGCCACACTGGGCACATATAAAGGGCTTCTCGTCGGCCTCAAGCCTTGGATGAACAATGGGGTCCCCGGGCTCTCCAGTGGGGACAGCGACTTTCTGCCATGGCTTTTTTGGATGGATCTCTTGTGGCCTCTCCGACAGGCTCTCTTGCCCATGCTCTTTCTCCCCATCTGGGATCTGAAAACCCTCTGAGTCATCTGCTCTCCAAGGCTTACCCCGCTCCCCTTCCTCAGGCAGGTGCTGTTCTGGATTCGGCTCCTTCTCACTGCCCATCTCTGAACCCTGAGAAGAACACAAATGGCCAACACCTTTATTCCTTGGGTCAGGCCAGGCCACAGGGAATCTTGTTCTGTCTGAGGGGTATACACCTTACCCATGGAACCAGCCATCAGAAGTAACCTCAGTGGGAATACTTGCAGAGAATGCCTTTACTTACTAAGTTGCAAGTGAACAAACTTCCAGATATTTAAAACTACCAAACCACCACCAACCAACAGATGATATTTGTCCACCACCAACAGATGATATTTGTGCAATCTGTATACTATTTTTCTTAATACCACTAAACGATAATAGTCTAGACTATAATGTATGTGCAGGTAAAGGAGCTTCCACTTCAGAATGAGTTCAGTTTTTCTGCCTAACTGTAGGTTAACTGAAGCTCCTGTTTAAATCTTTTTTTGAAAAACCTTAAAAGCATCCATCTGTGTGCCTGCTTTCAAAATGAATATAACAGAACCGCTAATTCTTGAGGCTCTCCTAGTTGTTTACAAGGCCCAGCTCTGGATCCTCTTAAGTGTTCTTCCACCTTTCCCTTCCCTTCCCCGGACCTCACCATAATCCAGCAACTAAAGAGTTAACTAACATCTGAGCCCTCCAAGACCTACTGCAGAGCCTGGGCCCTGTCTGTTCTGATTGGTCAGTTCACACTTCCGCACTCAAAACCATACACAGTCAAGTGCCTGCACACACATACACCACAGGCACAGCCATACTCACATACCACACACACTCAGCCACGTTCTCACACCACACATACATACCACTCAGTCACACATATACACACTCACATCACTCTCACAGCACACACAGCCATACACATGCGTATCAAATACATCACACACAGCCCTCCCACACATACAGCCACAGACGTGGCTACACAACCATATATCATATACACACAGCTATATTCTCACACCACATGCAATCTCACACACACATACACAGCCACACTCTCACATGCCACGTACACACAAAGACATACATACACAGACACACAAATTACACTCCCCTCCATGCAGCTATACATACACACACACACACACACACACACACACACACACAAAGCACTCTCCCCATACATTGCTACCCACACACACACATACAGACATACATGCAGTGTCTAGCACCAGGCCTACTTATGCAAACATCGGTAAATGCTTACTAAGCTGCACACTCTCCTCTGAGGTCCTACAGCCAAGGATGAGGGGAACGGGAAGAAAAAAGGACTTCTGATAGGAGGAAAGTGTGGTGTTTCCTCTGGGCCTTGAAGAAATAACATTTCAAAAGGCAGAGTGGGCTGCTGAAAATACTGTAGGGTGATGTGAACAAAGGGATGAGGGAGGGAAGCACAGACTATGATAGGACACTGACGATAGAAAATGAAAGACTGAGCTTCCTTCAAATCGGCAAGTATTTTTGGAAAACAGCAACATAAAGTAATGGGAGGGGCACTGACTACATTGAGGGTTGGATCCCAGTGGTGACACATTATCTTTATAACTCTACAGATTATTCAACCACTCTGAGCCTCAACACTCACATTGCTAACATTGTGATAACTACCTACACTGCAGGACTCTACATTAGAGAAAATGTCTACACTATGCTCAGTGTAGTGTGTAGCACGTACTAGTCATTCAACAATGACAGCTACTACTAGTTGTTGAAGACACTATTTCCTAGACCTGTGGAGAATACCAGAATGAAAAAGATCCCTTAAGTGATCTTGTTAGGAGAAAAAAAATTTTTAAATAAAAAATGATACAAGACCACCCTAGCTGGTGCGGCTCAGTTGGTTGAGCGTTGTCCTGTACACCAAAAGGTCATGGGTTCGATTCCCAGTCAGGGCACATACTCAGCTTGCCAGTTCAATCCCCAGTCGGGGCATGTATGGGAGGCAACTGATAGATGTTTCTCTATCACACTGATGTTTCTCTCTCTCTCTCTCTAAAATCAACAAAAACATATTCTCAGGTAAGGATTTAAAAAAAAAATGGTACAAGACCGTATATAATCTAAATCATGAAATATGGACAGAGCCTCAAATCTTTTAAGAAGCGAGATCAGAAAACTTTCTATAAAGGGCCAGAGAGTAAATATTTAGTAAATATTTAGGGCCACAGGATCTCTGTTGCAACTACTCAACTCTGCTGTTGTACTGTAAAAGTAGCCATAGACAATACATAAAGGAATGCAGCTATGTCCCAATAAAACTTTATTTAAAATGAAAGGAGGCAAGCTATCCTTTACCAACCTGTTACAAAGTATTTCTTGAAGAATCCAGCTAAGCAATGTGAAAACTAGGCTTGCTTCCCTTTTAAATATTAAGCTGAACATCAGGAACAGCTTATTCATTGATACTTACTGTTTCCTGGCCATCCTTTTAAAAATTACAGCCCCCTCCCATACTCACAGCCCCTCTGCCCCACAGCACTTCCCACCATCTAACATTGCATTTATTTATATGTCTCTTATTTATTATCTGTCTCCCCTGCCAAAATCTAAGTCCCATGAGGGCCAGGGTCTTTCATTTATTCACTAATGTAGCCTGAACTGCTACAGTAGTGGCGGTCAGATAGAGTAGATCCTTCACAAATATTTGTTGAGTTGAATAAATGAAGGTGCGGCCTGTCTCCAGGACCCATGTCATGCTTGTGTCCGTTCTCACCCACTGTCCCTCAGCAATCTCTTCATTCCTGCGCATTTCTTCCTTTATGCCCCCACAGAACCTTGTACTTGCTTTTACAGTGATCTGCACTTGTCCATTTACATGTCTGTTTCCACTAGTAGTTCATAAGCCAGGGGTAGGGACTGTACTCTTGTACAGTAGAAGGTTAAGTTCCAGGAGGACAGGGGCTGCGCCTTAGTCACCTTTGTACCCATTCCTCAGTGCCTCGTACAGCACCTGACACATTATACACGAACTAATAATAAGAACAGTTAACATTTTTAAAGCTCATACCAAGTGCTAGGCCCTGGACTAAGCACTACATATGAATCATCTCATTTTATTCTCACATTTTAGAAATGAGGAAACTGAGGCTCAAAGCAACAGTAAGTTGCCCAAGGACACACAGCAAGTGAATGGCAAAACTGGGACCTATGCCCATCATCCCAAAGTCAGTGCTTTTACGTGCCACACTAGTGTTGGAGGGGGCGAGAGGGAAGAAGGGAAGGAGAAAGGGAAGGACGGAAGGAGGGAAGGAGAGGAGGGTGGGAAAAAAGAAGAAGAGAAGAAAAAACAGTGCCACTGGATTTCAAATGACAGGCACACCTCCCTAGAGAGATCAGGGATGAGCAGCTTCAGGACAAAGGTGGTATTCCAGCTGGGGTTTGCAGGATGGGCGAGCAAGGTGGCGACTCACAGAGAAGGGGAGCCCACCATCTGCTGAAAAGACAGTGGCAGGTAAAGTACAGAGGCACTTTCCTATCACCTTTCAGAGATTTGGGTGCGAAAGCGGCCCATCCCACTTGTCTTCCTGGGAGGCTGAGGTACAAGGAAGACCGACAGTGAAAGGGCCCCGCCGGGCGTGGCTCGGCGGTTGAGCATCGACCTAGGATCCAGGAGATCGGGGTTCGATTCCCCGTCAGGGCACATGCCCGGGTAACAGGCTCATCCCCAGGCTCCCCAGTCGGGGGCGTGCAGGAGGCAGCCGAGGAGTGACGACTCTCTCATCATTGAGGTTTCTCTCTTTCTCTGANACAGGCTCATCCCCAGGCTCCCCAGTCGGGGGCGTGCAGGAGGCAGCCGAGGAGTGACGACTCTCTCATCATTGAGGTTTCTCTCTTTCTCTGAAATCAATAAAGATATTTAAAAAAAGTGGAAGGGATTCTGGCAGTGGAGGAGGAGCCAGGTCTAACCAGAAATGGGGCTGGTCAGATGCTGAAGTCCAAAGGCCTGGACTAGAGGGAAGAGACCACGCTGGAAGTCGGCCTGAAGGGCCGAAGTTTGGGTTCTTCAGGGGCAAGTCAAGGCCCGGGGGAGAAAAGGGGTAGAGGAGCGTGGGAAGGCCAGAGGAGAAACGGGAGCTGTACAGGGTGCTGGTTAACGGGCCGGAGGTGGAGGCGGATGGAAGGGGTCC